TTTAACGTGGGATTTTACGGTATTTGTGTTCCTTTTTCTGTCGAATGGAAGTTACATGTATGGTGATATGGCTGCTATTTTGTGTAGTGTCCTTCAAATATTTTTTACACTATTCCTAAAGACTGAATCCTTCGGGACAAGAAGGGACATTGAAAGTGTCAGCCTTGAGCCTATACCTATAGTCATATTGCACTAAAAAATCTTGCTACGTGCAGTCTTTTCTAAACATTTGGTTCCATTCAGTTGAGCCGGTAACTGAATGTGCAAACACAGGTACCTAGATACTAATACGACAATGAGTGATAGCATTCTTAAACGTCAGTTTTATCTCGTACTCTAGGCCCAAGAGATGATGAGAGCTAGTAGTAAGTACTTAAAGGAGGAGTTTAAGACTTCAGTCAGCACTGACATGGTCAAAGTGGATGGTCGAGTCCTTCCCGCACCTAGACTCAACCTCGGTCCTCAAGACAAGCCACTGGTTCCGCGGGATGGTGCGTGGGACATGCGAAACAAATCACTCCACGAGGGAGCTCGCATTCAAACCTGGGCTTTAGCTTGTTTTGCGCCTCCCCGCTGGTGTAATGACGGTCATCTGAGAAAGTTCTGTCAGCAAATGGCGTCTGTGTCCACTGGAGAGGGAATGAGAATGACAGAGGAGCCCACTGTTGTGAAATATGCGAGGGATAAAAATGACGTAAGAATTCTATTTTCTGAAAATGGTATAGTTTGTAAAAAAGGTTTCCTGTGGCTTTTGTCAAAGTCAATTCGACAAGACTGACAAAAAAAAACACTTCAAATAAACCAGCATCCTCATTTTAAACCTAGTGTTTAGAAAAAAGTTATATATAACCGAAACAAAAACAAAACAAAATCAAACCAAATCAAAGCGAAACCATTTTCAATGCCTGCCTTCAAAAAGGAAAACACTTAGGGAAGCTATCAAAAAAGGTCCTCCAGCATGGCGGACTGTACAGTTATAAGTGGCTTGTCAATGTATTGACAACCAACCAGTGCTGAAAGATTAAAGTTTTTACTTGTTCATTTGATTAGGTGGAAAGACTGTTTTGCAAATGGGCAGCAGACCTTCCCGAACTACAGCTTATCATGGCTGTTCTGCCAGAGAAATCTAAAGACCTTTACTCAGAGATAAAACGAGTTGGCGACAATGTGATTGGAATTACAACCCAGTGCGTTCAGTCAAAACTTGTACAACAAGCGAAACCTCAAGTCTGTGCCAATATCTCTTTGAAGATAAACTCCAAACTAGGTGGAATCAATCAGGTTATTGATCCGTCAGAGAAGTCACCCGTGTTTAGAGAACCTGTCATCATCTTTGGTGCTGATGTAACTCACCCTTCTCCTACTGAAAATGGGATTCCATCTATCGCTGCTGTTGTCGCCAGTATGGATAAAGATGCAACCAAATACTGCGCACGGGTTCGAGCGCAGAGACACGAGAAGTCAGGAGGTGCTCAGGAAATTATTAAAGATCTGGCAGTCATGGTGAAAGAGCTTCTTATCGAGTTCTACAAAGCCAACAGGAAGCTAAAGCCGTCCAAGATCATTTTCTACCGTGATGGAGTCAGCGAGGGTCAGTTTGACCAAGTTCTTGTTCATGAAGTGCGTGCTGTTCAGGAGGCTTGTATGATGCTGGAAAAGGAATATCGCCCAAAAATTACGTTTGTTGTGGTTCAGAAACGGCATCACACAAGACTATTCTGTGAAGACAAACGAGATGCCTCAGGCAAAGCTCAGAATGTACCTCCAGGCACCACTGTGGACAGTGGTATAACACACCCATATGAGTTTGACTTTTATCTGTGCAGCCACTTTGGAATCCAGGTAATTTGATGCTGCGTAACATTTGTGAAAGTTTATTTTGCTACTTTAACTCAGTGAGAAACTCAAAGTTGCCTGACATTTTGTTGTGATGAACAAGTTACGTTTTTGTTTTAACAAAATTATTGTAAAATAGCATATTGCATTTAAACCCTAAAGTTAAACCAATCTCAGGATACTGTACGTTCCTTTTGGAAGATTTGGATCAGTAGGATTTGTAATCCAAGATCACTAAAATCGTAGTGTATCAAATGAACTGGTGAATTGGTTCCTTTGATGCACCATGATCCGAGGTATCTTGAATCACAGGTCCTGATCTCGATCCAACCTCATTCCCAGGGTCTCTCACCTCACCGACCCCTGGAGCAAGAGAGGGCCGGGAGACCCTAGGAACGAGGTTGATCTCGATCGTCCAAAAGGGAACCACTTTAAAACTTGCTTGTAAGGACCCCTGGCGCTCTTTTATCAACCAATCATTCATTACGTCTGTAAGTCTGTCTGCTTGCCTACCTGCTTATGAACTTATTTTCAGCTGACCATGCTGCTTATTGGTAATATAAAATGTTCTTATTTTTTTTAATTTTTCAGATAATTCCCCTCTCCTTCCACAGCCCTTCTCCTCTTATCAGTTTTGTTAAATATCAGCTTATGTATTACGTAACTGTAATCTTTGAGTTAGATAAGATATCTACCTTGCCCCAGACTTTGCAGGCTGTAAAATGACAATTTTACCATGGTTACTGATTTCTCCTCAGGGAACAAGCCTCCCCACACACTATCACGTTTTGTACGACGATAACGCCTTTACAGCAGACGGTCTTCAACAGCTCACTTATCAGCTGTGTCATGTATATGCACGGTGCACTCGCAGTGTTTCCATGCCAGCCCCTGCCTATTATGCACATTTGGTAGCATTCCGAGCTAGACACCATGTGACCAATGGTGGAAATGGAAGGTAGCATTTTTTGTGGCAAGATTTTCATCAAGTTTTCTACTCTCATGGCCTTGTTTGTTTGTTTGTTTGTTTGTTTTAATTGTTGTCGTGTTCAACTTTTTAGGGGCGGAGATACTGTAGATTTGGAGAAGTCTGCAAAAGCCATTCAAGTCAGCGACAGAATGAAAGGAGCGATGTATTTTACATAAAGATTCAGCCGGATAATTCCCAAATTTGAACACAAATAGTTTGACTTTCTTTTGGAGAAGACGAGGACAGATAAGAATCCGAAATGGAATTTGACGACTGATAAAAACATATAAACACGCGTTTTTTACGATTGTCTTGACGTGATCGCATGTTCACTAAAGCCTGGTTCACACTTGTGAGATAAGCGTAACACTAGTGAAATAAGCATAAGCGCAAGGACAAGAAAAAGAAACATGTTTCTCTTTCTTGTTCTTATGCTTGTGTTTACTTCACTAGTGTTGCGCTTATCTCAAAAGTGAAACCTGCTTATCTCACTAGTGCTATGCTTATCCTACAAGTGTTAACCAGGCTTAAACAATTGACCAATTTAAAAAAAAGAGTCATAGTACACGAACTCCTATTAAGTGGGCACAAGAGATTATTTGGCGGCCAACCCCTATTAAGCGCTTAATAGGGGTTCGACTGTACTGCAAGAGATGATCGTGGCTATTTAACAGTTATCTTACTAGTGCGCATTGGATATGAGATGGTAGATAGCCGAAGAGATGGGCCTCGTCGGCTATAATCATCTATTTTTTTCAACAAGCGCGAGTGGAATAATTATTTTATTAAAAAGCGTCCCCCAATGTATAGAAAACAAACAGAAAATAAAAATGGCATCCAAAATTACGCTTACGCTCACCATATTTGAAGAGCATGGTATGATGGCTCACATACCATGATGGCTAAACCATTGGAAACTCTTGAAATTGCATATTTAATGATTAGTTTTAAGTACTTGTTAACCGAGAGTGAGGTCTTTACGGAAAAATCTCAGACCGAGATCTTGCCGTATTGACCGACCGATATCGAGGCCGACAAGGCAAGGCCGAAGTTTGAGATTTCGCCGTTAAGACTGAACGTTCGAGGTTAATAAGTTGTTCATTATATGGGTTTTTGCTTTGTTTTTTACAAGCCTATAATTGGCCCGTGGGAATTACGGGAGAAAAACGCCCTACAATTAGCCAATCAGAGCGCGCGTTATATGGGTTACAAGAATAAGCCATATAATAATTAATATCATTATATGGCTGTGTCTCACAAGGACTGGGAACTACCGAATTCGCGAATTTGATTGGCTGAAATCGATATTGAAAGCGGTCTAGATTTTCCCATTTAGACCGGCATCAAGACCGGCAATGTTTTACGGTGAAAAATATTGACTGTTAATTTCTTCTCACAATACTTATTTATGGAGTGCCAAAAAGCCTAATGAGAAAAAAAGTAAAGAGGACGAGCAAACTTTGGCAGAATTAAGTTCGGCTCATCGCCGTTCGTAAGCAAAATGTCAGCCAGTACAAACCAGTTACATTGAATTGTTCTTGTTTGCCATGTAATAAGCATCTTATTACCTGAGCTTACTCGGTCTGCGTTTGGTCTGTACACACAACCTCGGTCAAGATTCTCCCATACCGTTTGAGGTGGTTTCTTAATCTGGTGGAACTGTTTGATGAAAAGATTACGGTACCAGACGTCTGTTACTTGGCTTTCGCTCGTTGTCTAGCTAGAACTCATAATGTTAATATGTTGATCTTTTCGTTGACGCATTTTTGCTCTGCGAAAAATTCTTTCTTCTTTTAATTGCGTTATGATATAATTTCAATGTTAAATCGTTCTCCATAAATATTTACTCGGATTCTGTGATTACAAAAGTGTCTTGTATTGGATAATATGTTCCCAATTCTGAACAAACCTACATACAACCGTCTTCCAAAAGAGTTCAGTTGTATAATATTCACAGCTAGTAACAAATACTTGTGTTCCTCGATGCAGTGACCATATCCTCGCTGTTGATGTTCATGTTTGATAGGGATTTCCAGGTAAAAAAAGGTATACGGAAACGCTTTTTGAAGTTTTGTGGGTAGTGCTTCTTGATTTACTAATATTTTTAAAAAGGAAGAAATTAGAAGAAATGCCGTTAGTAGCAGCGGTTACTCTCCCCACGCATGCTCAGAAACCGTGGTTGAACAAGCCGCTGTTGACAAAACTTCCGCTTGTGAATTATGATCACTGGAGACGAATTATTCGAAAGAAAGAATTGAAAAGTTCTCAGATGTTAGGTGCTCGATACTCCCTGTTCAAATGTCGTGCATAGAATACAATAACTTACTGTTTGAGATAAGCCAGAGGCTAAATCAGCGGAATGTGGGCGAGCAGCTACTCGATCAACTACTCTTCATGTGCCGAGGGAAAGTGGCGTCTGGGACTGAAGACAACATCAGCGATGTTCTTTCGTTATTAGGAGATCTGGAAAGCCAGAACAATTTAAACATTGATCAACTGGATGTATTGAAGGAGCTTTTGAAAGGTGTGGGAGAGTGGTCTCTGTTTCAGAAAGTTCAAAAGTTCGAGATCAAAAGGAAAGATTATAACTGCTTACTTGCTCAGGTAAACCTTGGACTAGACGAACTCAATGATTTAGAACGGCTTATTTCAATGTGCAGAGGGAAGACTTCAGTGGAAACTGAAGGCAATATACACGATGTTCGCACTTTATTAAAAGAACTGGAAAGGCAGGGCCATTTAGGAGTTGGTCGTCTCGATTTCTTAAAAGAGATTTTGACTGCAACTGAGAAAGACGACCTCCTTCGGCTAGTACAGGATTTTGAGAGGCGACGACATGAGGAGGATGAATTTGAAAGAAGAAAAGGTAAAGTTTAATTACTTTCCCGCAAATCACTTTAGTGTATTGGTTTCTAGTGAATCATTCAAGCTCTCACGATTCGCATGCAGATGATGTCTTAACTCTTAATGAGTAGAACCTAATACAATGTACTTGAATTGCTTGTCAGAGTATTAAAATGAAAATCAGTACTGAGATCGTTTTCACTGTCACGCGATAAAAAGAAATAAATCGAAGTCTATTTCGTGGATATAGTCAAGGAATTGTGAACTTATAGGAAATAAATAAAGAAGACACTTCTCCAAGTTTTAGGTCTGTGAGTTTTCCCAAACTGCAGATATTTGTCGAAATGTTTCGCAGAAATTTACAGAGCCCAGTATGGAAACGCCATGTTTGTGCACCAACATGGCATTTACATAAGCACTTTTCCCAATGATCTAACTTCTAAAAAAGCTAAAACTCATAAGATAGGTATATATTTTTGGAGAGATACGATCGTAGCCTTGTGTCACGCACCGCCATAACTCTGAAATCCACAATACGGTTTCCAAACGAAGCACACTATTGAGCTGCAAAATTGTAAACAGATACAAATTTGCCCCCTCTTATGACTGATGGGGATAAAAAAATTTGTGGCTCTTTAGTTTTCGTTTTTAGAAAATGATGACTGCACATGAAAACGATCTATACAATTAATAACATGTATTCTAATTTGGATCTACGTAGCGGATCTTCCCAGTTGGAATAGCTTTTCTTAGTTGATCCAGACGCCGAAGTTTTATTTTCCAAACCGAGTCATGCATAAATTATGAAGGGTGCTTCAAAACAGAGTAACGCAGTAGGAAGTAACGCAGTAATGAGTAACGCAGTAACGAGTAACCCAGAACGAGAAAACGAGTAACGGGTTAAGTGTCAGAGTTAAAAGTTCTAAAAACTTTGAAAAATCTTTTAAAAATGCATCGAATGTTTATTATTAATATATAAATAGTAACTACAAAACCAATAAAAGTTAAATAAAATAGGCTTATGGTCACGTTACATAGGCACCCGCACCTATGCAAAAGTTTGGTCGATCGAGACTCGGCGAGATCTTGGCGGCGAAAAACTAGCTGAGAATCTCCCGAGAAGCTAATTTAATTCTGCCAAAGTTTGCTCGTCCTGTTTACTTTTTTTCTTATCAGGTACTTCCATAAATAAAGATTGTTAGATGAAAAAAAAGTCAATGATTTTGCATTTTAGTTTGCAACTTTTTCACTGCGAAATATCACCAGTCTAGATGCCGGTCTAGATGGGAAAATCTATACCGCTTTCAATATCGATTTCAGCGAATCAAATTTGTGAATTGGGTAGTTCCCAGTCCTTTTGAAACCATATAATACAATATAATACAGTGCAGTGCAGTGCAATAGTTAGAAAACAGCCCAAAGAAGATACGCGCGCTGATTAGTTTAAAATCGTGTTTCTTTTAAGCAATTAGATTATGAGCTCGAGATTTCTATCGCGCATAGAAATCGAGAGCGAATAATCTCATTGTTTTAGTATTAAGTTTTGGAGGAAAATTTTGATGCAAATGGATAATTAAATTCCTGAGAAGTCTAAACGAAGGACATCTACGGTAAGTTGAAATTATTGAAAAAATTGATGCGCGCGTGCACACAACTTTTAATAGTACGCACGCAAAGGTTAATAATGCGTCAAGAAATAATTGGAAACCGTTATTTGAAGTAAATTTTAGTAAGAATTCTACTAAAACAATTAGATTATTCGCTCTCGATTTCTACGAGGTAATCGCTGCTAGTGTTTAGTGGCTCAGCCAATCGGATTACTGCTTTTGCATTAGTATAATTGTAGAATTCTACGAACATAGAATAGATAGTGGGTACTTTAGCCAATCAGAGAACGGCATTCGTGATAGAACGCTAGTAGATTTATTCTAAAACTCGGTGAAACACAGAACTAGCACGAGCTGTTGACGTAATGATGGCACCGGTGACGAGCAAAGAGAATTTACAGTTTGATAATCAAAGTTAACAAGTTGTTTTCCTTTTTCGTCGCGGTGTTTTCTAAAAGAAACAGAGAAAGTGTTCTTCGTGTTTCTGTCGAGTTATTGAAACATTTGTGAAAGTTTGGGAGAAATCGAAAAAGCTGCGGAAACACTGGCCTGTCGGCTCGTGTTCCCACAGCATTTCTCGTTCTCCCAAATTTATTTTTAGCATATTCTTAAGGATGCACTCAGAGAAAAAAAAAATAATTAAAAAAGCTCTTATTTCCGTTTTTGAGCTGGATTTCCGCTGGTCTCTCGAGTCCGGTCTACTAGCGCGGGCTCCTTTCCTGATCAGCGGCTGTTAATCAAGCCTATTCTGTTTTAAGTGGTATCTTTTAGGAGTCAAATAAAGCTTGAGTCACACCCAGATTAGTGTACTTTAGGTGGTTTAATTCAAATTTTCCGACGATCTTCTCCGACGTTTTCATATGGGAGTCACCCCCCCGCCTCCCGCCAAGGTAGATATATTGCTTAACCACAACTTCACCTCGGAACGAATGTCATGAAAGGGTTTCATGAATTTCATGAATGTCATGGAAGTTTTTCACTTTTTAGCGTGCACAGTTCAATCGACGAAAGCTTCAAGAAGTCTTGAAAAATCTCGCAAAAGATTGACGTGATTGTCGGTACGACGTAAGTCCGTATATATACCCACGGCCGACTTTTGCGCAAATTTACCAAACAATATTTAAGAGGTACTTAAGAAGAAAGTTAGGGGGTAGATAGTCATAAAAACTTTGCTGGTGAAGAATACCTGCAGAATTTTTCTTTCTCTCGATGGCCGCAAAGACATAATGATCAATGCGCTTTCAATTGTGTTTTGAATACAGAATGCTGAATAAATGCAGCTTTCAGGACTTCAGAAAACACAATGGTAATATACGGTATTGCTTCGACGTTGGATTCCATTTTTTAAAGGAATGATAAAGCTACGGCCGATAAGTGATAAAGCAGATTAGTGAATAATCCGTAGGTTGCGCGCGCAATGCATGATTTCCAAGAGCAATGTCAAGTTCACGTAAGAACATAGCTTGTCGAAAGTAAACTGTGTTCGGTGCGATAATGCGTTTGTCGTTATTTTCTTTAAAACAGTGTACAATAAAACAATTATGAGATTCGGTTTTTATGCTATCCGAAATAATCAAGGTCTGGATTAGTGTTATCACACCTACCTCGACCTTAATTATTCCGCATATCACAAAAATCTCATCCAATAATTGTTTAAAATCTGCACCACAACTAAAACCCCATAGATTGCTTACGCAATCTCCGGGTTACAAGCATGGAAACTGCCGATGCCTTCTTGAAGGTAGCTAGGTTTGAAAACAAGGGGAAATTTACATTTCCAGGCAATGCGAGCAACCCTGCAGTTTCTTAAATATCCCAACTACGGTAGTAATAATGTGATAGAGCCCTCATACTGACCTCGTAAACCGTTTTAATCCATGTACACGGTCCAATAATTAATGCAAATTAGTATTAGTTCGAAAGTTCCCCTTTAAGTAAAGTTGACTAGGAAATTGAATTATGATTTTATTGAAACTGATGAAGTACTAAATCTACAGTGAGCCCTGGAGCTTACTTTGACTCTAGGACACATTAGCTCTTCAGACATTTAAATTTCACTTGTGTCTGTTTATGCCATTTGCCTATTTCTTTTTGTTGTTTTTTTATAGCACAAACAGCTGACATTGTTGCATCGGCAAAAGCTGTTGGTGGAAAGATAATAGGAGGTTAGTAGAAATTGACATGCATGGACAGTAAGTATCTCAGGGAGATAAATGCCAATTAATCATGCCCAATAAATATCAGCATTAGAGTGGTTTTCCTGGTAATACTTCTCCTGAGCTGTCCTCTTCAAACTAACATAAACAGTAGCTGTACCTAATATTTTAAATTAGGTCAATGAAACGGTTTTTTCTTGTTGTTATTTAATACTGTATTTTCCCCTTCTATTTTACTAGTTAATTTCTGATTTCGTATGTTTTTGTAATTCGGCTATTAAGGCATGGCCAGCCATTCTGTTTCTTCTGTGATGTACATTGCTGGTGCCAAGTTTGAAGAACACTGCTTTAATATTTCTAGAGTTATTCTCGCTTGAGTGTTGTGCTCTTTTAGTGGAACCACCCGTGGCGTCATCACTTTCCTCATTTGCATAATAAAAAACCCGAATATCTCTAAAATGAAAAAAGATATTCCAAAAAGGAAAACGCCATTCTTCTATACTGTGAAAAGCCTTTCAAATAAGCAGCAATTATTTTTTGCTTCATAGGCACTTTAAAAAAGGGGACGTTATTCAGAGTAAATCACTCAGAAATTCTTTCAAATTGAATACACGTGCACGTTCACCTCACTTTTATAAAAGGTGATGACACGGTAGGATCTAAGTTGGATTTGAATAAACTTTAAAATTCATTCTCTACATACATTTGTCACAATTCATAACAAACAAGGAAAACGCAAATGTAGGACACAATAATTTCAGCATAATCATCCACTTCGTAAACATTTTCTAACCTGTCATAATACAAGTACGTAGTAAGCAAAAGGCTCAAGAACAAGCTCACAGGGGATAATCAGATGTTGAACATCCAAGAAAGAATCCCCTCCTCGAGGAAGTCTCAACTTACAAATTAGTTAATTGGTATTACAATTGATCAAGAGTTGACATTTGATAGCCATGTTGATCATGAAAGCATGTTTAGCAAATTGGCACAACATATAGGAATAGTGTGGGTAAGATACGCTCTTCTCTTTCTCGAACTGACAGTTCTACTACTACTACCATCAAACCCTTTCTGTGTATGGTAGTCCATCTGGGGAAGTATAACTTCCAAGCAGAACCTTAAACCAGGCTTTTCAAAAGACAGAAAAGACTGCTTCAGTCATTCTTAACAGTAGTGCTAGAGAATCGCAAACAGTAGCAAAAAATCCTTAAATTGGCTGCCATATTTCCAGGAAATAAAGATCAACTACTGCTTCCTTTTGATGAAGCGGCTTTTGTAGGGAGTACTTAGAATCCAAACTTGTCAAGAACAGTCAAATTTCTATCAGGACAACCCACCACTCATTCGAAACGTTTCACTGCCCTCGGTATAATCGGAAACGGAGGATGGCCGAACATTTATTACTAAAGCTGTTAAAATTTTTCATTTATTTACCAAATAAACTCAAAAACTGCCCAGATTTTAGGACTTTAAAAAGAACCTACACCAGCCACTTTTCTGCAGCGAACGCTGACCTTCACCATGTCACTGTTAGCTACATGTACACAGTTCTTTATGTTAAGCAATCTTTATCCTCTTTTTGTCTTTTGTTTCAGTGTTCATTATATTTTTATGTCGTTCATGTTGTTTGTATTTACATGTTAATGTAGTTTTTGTGGTTTCCAATTTATTTGTGTAACTTCTGAAATATGTAACTATTTATCCTGAGGGCCACGGGTTGATCACTTTCTAACTGATAAGTGATTTTACCCCCATGAAATTAAGTCTTTTTTTATATAATTCAATTAGCGGTTTGGCTCACGTATAAGCAATCTCGTTCTTCATGAATCCTCAAATTATTGTCCATAGCAGATGTAAACTTTCAGTCATGGGTACATAATCATACCATGCCGTAACATTTTCCTGTCTGTCATGATACAGGTGGGTAGCAAAAACTGACGAATGCAAAGCAGGAGTCCAATTGCAGTTTGCATCCTTCGTGTTCTTTAAAATGCCAGCGTACTCATATATCTCAGCAGTGCATTTGTGCACGTTAAACAGCCCCTTGTAAACGTCCAGTTTACCATAAAGTGGGAGGCATAGTTGCCCAATGGTTAGTGTTCTGGACTTCGGATCAAGCTGTCCAGGTTGAAGCCCTGTTTTCTTGGGCACGGCTCATATTCTTCACAGTGGTTTTCTCTGTCCAGAAGGGTATGTACATGTACTAGGGAACTGTTAGAGCGACCTTTCTACAGAAACCGGAGTAAAGCAGCTGAGCACTGAAGAGCCACTCTGCTCCCCCAATCCATTTGGATTGGAGAAGCAAGGGGATGCGACAGGAACCTAATCTACCGGGAAAATATCTGTCCACAATGTAAATTTTCCAGCTGAGTAAGTTTGCATATTTTTTCGGCAGTCCTGAATATGAAGACGATGTGCAGGGTGGCAGCTGCGGGCATAACGCTACTCACTGTCCGTGAGATCTTAAGTCGCTGGAACACGTATGATGAGTTGGTGAGATGCTTTAATGACTGTGTGCTGCCTGCTGGTACACAACTTGTTGAAGTTAGTCAAGGATGTGTGTGCTTCACGGTTAAGGCAGACAGTTTGACAGGGCTGACTACTTTGTGGAATATGTACGAGGATGGAACTCTTAAGGCACGCTTGCGTGACTTCTTTGTGACTGATGAAATGGAAAAAACCGCTGGTGGTGGAGGGAATGTGGAGGTCACTCTGACTATTGAAGAAGAAGAATACGAGAAAGCTTGCACTGAGTTCATAAATAAAACTGAAGGTAAATTATTTCCCGTACAGCTTGGTAATTTTTACTTCGTAAATGCCACTTACCTGGGAAATTTCATGCGGTAAGAGTTTTATCTTGAACAACCCATATATAGTGTACCTGATACGAGGACGTTATTGAATGCCCATCAAATGGACTCACTTGCTAAAGGTCTTGAACTTCCTTACAATTATTTTCTCCCCAGAATTGCCAAAAGTATTGGAGACAAGAAGACCCAGGGGAACAATAATATAATTATAGTACCAATAATAATAATAATAATTATTATTATTATTATTGTCATCATTATTATTATTATCATTATCATTATTTTTATTATTATTATTATTATTATTATTATTATTATTAATATGAGTAATATTTTGGAAGTTGTTCATGTAGTGGATTTCACGCACATTACTTTGCCTGGGTACCCTAGCCTGCGATGGACTAGCATCCCGCCATCCTTGGCGGATTGGAAATACTCCTAGTCGATTCGTGCGACAGAAACCGGAGATAAGCGCCGGCTTGATGGGCCACTTGGCTTATATGCAGACTTTACCTTTACTTTATTTTGCCCGTGTAAGTTTGGTTGTACCTCGGAAAAAGGTATTCTTCTTTTGCTCATGCTTTACAACGGTATCTGACAGATCAATTATTTAGTAAGGAATTATTTTATAATAAGTCTGTCCATTATTAGGTGACGAGAAGCGTCCTCAAGGACGCAATCGAAGACATTCGGATTCAGCACTATCTGTCATACCAAGGGAAGGCGAATTGTCGCTGATAAAACTGAAACAACTGGAAAATAAATTCAACATTTTGCAAGAAAGACTGGACGTTTTAGAGAAAGAAGTCGCTAAGCCTCCGCTAGAGTTTTTGGAGGACAGAAGCACTTGGAAGGACAAAATGACATTGTGGGATCAAGGTAAGGAATTTACATCATCGGCATTGAGCTCATTGCGTCCTTGTTACTGTTATTTGCCTCCCAGCTTCATAAACATAACAATACCTTGGCGTTTTGTCGATCAGGCGTCAGTTTCTGAACACCAAGGAACGCCAAGGACGCCTCATACAAAGGAGATGCATGCACCAGGTACTGAATGGCATAGTGGCTTAGCGAATCAGAGACAGCATCTACAGATCTATTTTACATCATTAATTACCCTACTCTCCGGAATTGATGACTTTTTTTCTGAATTGAGCTTCATGAGCCAGTGCGTACCACAAAGATTTATCAAAAGAATACTCTCTTGATATAATCAAGAAGCAAGGGGGATGGAAAAAGGGCCATGGGCATGTGCTATAAATAAAAACAATATATCTTTAAAATGCATGTTATGTGTGTTGATTGAGCCAAAGTGCTACTGTATTTGTTGCACCAAAAAAAAAAAAAAAATACTGATTAAAGTTAAAAGATAAGCCAAAGCCAAATATGGTAATACTACAACAAATCTTGCCTTTGTGTCCAGTTATGTCTCAAACTGTACAGTAAGCGAGAAGTTCTGAAGCCGTCACACAAACTGCGATACCCAGCACCCATTGTAAGTTACCTGGTTTGCAGGCGTTTACGAGGAAGGGATAGGGGAGGCGAAAGACACGAAGAAGTAGGGGAAGGAACGCCTGCTTTAAGAACCAGTCTCTTTATATAATCTCGAAGACCTGTTTGTAAGTCGCACTGTTAATTCAGAACAAAAGGCTTTTATGGATAGTCAGTTGCACTTTCTGCATTATTATTATTATTATTATTATTATTATTATAATTATAATTATTATTTTTGATCAATAACGATATCTTAAAACATAAGCAGGCGAATATTAACGTTAAAAGCCGACGTTTCGGCGTCATCGTGACACCATTCTCAAGGCAAAGTGAATAAATAATCCGAAGATTTGATTTCTATGGTCTCTACAAATTAACATAATAACAAAGGATCACAAGTTCTTCGAGTGAATACTTTGTGATCCTTTGTTATTATGCTAATTTGTAGAGACTGTATAGAAATCAAATCTTCGCATCATTTATTCACTTTGCCTTGAGAATGGTGTCACGATGACTCCGAAACGTCGGTTTTTAACGTTAAAATTCGCCTGATTATTATCATTATCATTATCATTATTATTATTATTATTATTATTATTATTATTATTATTTCTTGAATGATGTTACAATTACAATGGCCGGCACTTTGTAAACAATTGTGACGGGGAAAGGATGTGGTTTAAGTAAAGTGAAAAGTGTCAGTGTTAACAAGGGGTTTATGAATTACTGAAAATAGCGACTATTTGTCCGTTCTTTTGTGTACTTTTGTGCACTTTCAGAGCAAGGTGAGGGCGAGGAGTGGCGTGAAACCGAGGATCTGGCTGCTACAAGTGACAGTGGACTGGGATCACACGGGGCGCCATCTGTTATTGGAGAGGAAGGAATCTGTGGTCAGTAGTTTTTTTAGGAATTGATTCAGGGTTGTCCAAAACTACATACATATACATACAAATAACCTTTATATGTATAAACACGATTACTTGTCAAAGCTTTCAGCTTTTGGAGTCGTGTACCAACTAATACTGTCAAATCGATTCAGCCCGAAAGAGAGAAACTTCGATTCGTTCGATTCGATGAATGGAGAATGGAGCATTCCATCAGACAGTTTCATGTCATAAGCGGGACAAGGAAATATTTTCAGGGCCTGGTTGAAAGATTGACGATTCGATCGATTTGTTGGATTCTACGAAAGGATAACTTCATTCATGATCCAAAAAAAGGAGTTATCGATCTTCTTTCACTGTTTGTACGGATAGTTATCACGGCGTGACTGTACATACGTCATCCGTATGCCACTTGCTCTGTGCATGCATGAGCTGAGCATCACGCCTTGAAAAATAAGAGAGTATCACCATCACCATAGGTACATCTTTGATATTGGACATCCAGGTTATTGTTAATTTGACAGTTTTCAAAACAAAGTATCCGCTGATCAGTATCGAAAACTAGTACCTGGACAGCAGTCAATTTAACAATGGCCTTGATGAGCTCTAAACGTGAGCCCGCGATATGGTCACGTGATACTGGTCGGCGGATACCTTGTTTTGACAGGTGTCAATTGACCACAATATGGATGTCCAAAATCAGAGATGTACGCTGTAAACCTAGGCGGCATGTCTCGCTCAGTCTATTAGCTGGAGTATGGCCACCATGTTGCGCGACTTCATCGTGGTCATGCGTACGCTCCCACGAGCAATACCGCTAGCCATGATAGCCATGATAAAATTAATTCATGGGTTTCCTTTTCCTTTGTGTGTGAGTGTGGTGCTCCGCTTTTCCGGCCTTCGGAACGCCGGAGCTCAATTTGCAGGCCCCTCAGCTGGAGCAAAAGTACCACAAAAATATAGATTTCGTAATGGAAAGTGTGTGCGTAGTGTTTATAAAATAACTGAGCTACTGCGCGCTCTCATTGGTCGATAGGTGTGTTTAGATGAGAGTATGCAAACACGGTTGTGACGTTTTAGATTCGCGCGTATTTTTGAGAATCATTTTATAAAAGCAATAGAGCACTTTTTCCGTGTTTACATAGCCTCATTTAAGCACTCGGAGGGTTGGGAGAAGTCTCGAAGATTATGCAAACCCTCGACTACGTCTCGAGTTTGCAAAACTGTCTCGAATTTCCCTCGTGTTTAGATTAGGCTATGTAAACACGGAAAAGGTGCTCTATTGCTTAATTACGTCGTGTGTCGAGCGTATGTTGCATTGATAGTGTTAGCCTCTGTACTTTCTATGGCATGGTATAAAATAGTTATGTAATCAATCAATCAATCAAAAAATCAAAACTTTATTTATCGAGGGTGACACGTAATAGTAATGCTCTCTCGTGGTGCACCATGAAATATTCCACTTGTCACTTGCATTTTCTACATACACACAATCATATTAAGCTTTATTTATACACGGTATCAAATTCATACAAAATATGCTATTCCATCGAGCCGTGTCTAACCTAGATTTAAAAGTTACAACTTATACGTAATCTACTATGAGCGCTAATTCTACTAATACAACTTAGAGCGGTTTTCATTTGAGTGTCGAAAGTAATTAGACAATTACTTTGGTTTTGGTTTTGGTTTTACTTCGGTTCGAGATTGGCTGAGTAGTCTAATTGGTAAGTAATTCGTTTGGTNTAGTCTAATTGGTAAGTAATTGGTTTGGTTTTGGTTTTACGACACTCAATTGAAAACCGCTCTATACAACTAATACTGATACTGATACTGGCCCTGGCACTGGCCCTGGCACTGGCTCTATTAGTATTCGTATTAGTACCAGTACTATTGGCAAGACATAAGACAATCGGCAAGATAGATGTAGGTCTATAGTTATTTCGCCGATTAGTTTTGATATCATCCTTGTAAATAGGAGAGACTCTGGCTACCTTCCAATCATCCAAAAAAAAAAAAAAATGGCGGTAGTTAATGATAGATTTGTGATGTAGGTCAGGGATGCAGAGATGATAGGTCCCGCCTCCTTTAACAGTTTGTCTGGAATACCATCAAGACCGCTTGCCAACTGAATCAACTTAAGTACGATATCGTTAGACGTTTTACTTAAGGAGAAAACATGCGGCACACGAGCCTTCAGGTCACACATGAAGACTCGTCTGTATACCGAGAAAATTCAAATGACTCATAAGATATTCCAAAAAGCGAAAGCGTTGCATAACTTGTATGCGTATATCTCCAGAACCTCCAAGAGTGGCCACTGCTAACACTGCTGCTTCTACTGTGTCTCAGTCCACTGCGACTGCCGTTGCTGTTGGTGATGCTGCGGCTGCTGTGGAATTTAAACATGCAGAAATACCAATAGGGCTTCATTCCAGCTTGACCCCAAAAGGTATAGAGTTTTATTCAGAAGTTTAACTGTAGGCATTTGCAAAAAGCTGTTAATTCTTTCTTTTTTCACAGATACCAGCTTACGCGTGCATTGTAGATTTGGAAAGAAAATCAGATGATTTAAACTATGCACACTTTGTTATTACTCGTAGCCGAAATTTAAAAGAGTTACTGCACCTACAGGCTTTCTTATGCTCATCCACCAAGTTCGTTGTATACTCTACGGCGAAAATGGCCGTGGAGCCTGCAGTGTCTGTGTGCAACCTAAAGTGACCTGCTTCTCTTAATTGCAATAGTTTTGGCTGCATCAGTTTTATTGAAGGCTAAATTAGAATTGTCAGGTTTATGATATGGTTACAAGTTTGATTCATGACTCATGACATGATGTTACTTTTAACTACTACTGTAGCCTATTTACACTTCTTTGGAACTTGAAAAGTAATTTGTTTCAATTTACTGTTAATTAATTTGTTATGTATAAAACTTGCTTCCGGCCACTTGAACGCGTTACTGTAACCGCTACTGCTGATGGAAATAATAAAAGAAAAGTAAAAAAATCATCAAGAAGGCGTCTTATGTTGACTGCTAAAAATATAGGTCAGTTTTGATTCTGAATATTAACTTTCGGTATTTGCAAAAGCTGTTTATCCTTGTTCTTTTCCCAGCCAGCAGCTTAAGTTTGGAAAGACAATCAAATGGATTGAACAAAATTGTTACTCGTAACCAAAGATTAAAAGAAGACTTCAGTACTGCACTTCAGGCTTTGTGCTGCACATGAAGCCATTTTGCAATGCACTGTGCAGCGCAGAAATGGCCGTGCACGTGGAACCTACAATGTCTGTATACAGCCTTAATTAAGTGATGGTACAATCAGCCGTTTCTCTTCTCTTCGTTAATTGAAAGCCAAACTGAAACTATCAGAGTTATGGTTACAAGGTCGCTTCATAACTCAAAGATGATGTTACTTTTAATTACTACTACTAAACCTTATTCACAATTTTGGATCTTGAAAAGCAATTTGTTTTGATTTATTTTTAATTGAATTGTTAATGTATAACTTTAACACACAGCTCCACGTACTCTTACAATACCCATTACTGTAGCCGCTCTTGCTGATGTGGATGATAGAGGAGATGTGAAAAAATTAAGAAGTAGGCTTGCTTCCAGCTTGTCGACTAGTGTTAAAGGTAAAGGGTTTGATTCTGCAGGTTAACTGTCAGTATTTGCAAAAGCTGTTTATCTCTTTTTCGTAGCTAGCAGCTTACGCGTGCACAGTTATCGGTTTGGAAAGACAATCAAATGAACTAAAGTATGTACACTTCGTTGTTGCACATACAGGCTTTGTGCGGCTCATTCACCAAGTTTGTTTACTTCTTATGCGTTTTGCAATGCAAACGGCCGAGGAGCCCACGGCGTCTGTGTGCAACCTAAGTGATTGTACTTGTGCAATTGAGGGCCTGTTTCTCTTTCTAGATCTTGCAATGGTTTTGACCTGATTAAAATTCGCAGGCTTATTGCTGCGAGACTGATTCATGACTGGACGACTTTGTTACTCAGTTAATCACTGCACCTTATTCACACGGTTTGAACTCGAAGAATAATTTGCTCAAGTTATTTTTGATTAATTTGTTAATGTTTGTTGGTTCCTCTTGAATGCACAGCTCGTCAAACGCAAGGGGTTGGTGGACCACATACGCGTAAAAGACCAGGATATGGTACTGTAGGCCACCCTTCAATGTTTAGGTCAAGCTTCTTAGGCCTCAATCTTCCAACTCAAGGGGTTGGTGGACAAGGTATGCCTAAAAGACCAAGCTATGGTACTGCGGGCCGCCCTATAAGGTTAAGGGCAAACCTCTTCCGTCTCAATATTTCATCACAACTATCAGATCTCTACCACTATGATGTGGAGATTACCCCAAGCAAGTGTCCTCGAGCAGTGAAAAGAGACGTTGTGAATGAAATTATAAGGAGGTACAAAGATACAACATTCCAAGGTCACCACCCTGCTTTTGATGGCGAGAAGAATTTGTATAGCAGAATCAAACTTCCTCCAGTGAGTGAAGAGTTACTATAGTTACTAATTATTCTGGATTTTATTGTACATTGTTGCAGAGAAATTTTAACTTAACTTACCCTCAGTTGTCTTTGCAAAATTCTTCTGACATTGTGGCTTTCAGATTTTCTTCAATCTAAAGCTTCTATGTTACTTCGTTGGTCAACATTTTCCACTTTTTTTCTGTTTGCGGTCGGAAAGGCGATCAGCAAGGCAAAAACTTAACAAAATATCCAGAGATAGCTGCAGCTAATGGAAAAGAGATTGAGTCAGCAATATTAACTACTTAATAACCGAGAGTGAGGTCGTTACGGGAAAATCTCAAACTGAGGCCTTGCCGTATTGACCGAGCGATAGTGAGGTCAATACGA